CCGGATCCTCCTGCAAAAGATCTGAAAAGATTTGCATTTTATTACGATCATAGAATAGGGTTTTTATTGGATCAATGTTTGCGGAACAGGTTTCACCATTTCTTGCCTTTAACACTACAACAGCGTGAGTTATTTTTTCTATAACATATGGTCCTTCAAATCGTGGGAAAAATTTGGCAGTTTTATCTTCTGGTGCTGAAGAAAGTGAATGCTTAATTTTTAGTACTTCATCCCCTACTTTATAAGTTACTCCCCGTCGTTTCAAATCATAATAGAGTTTCTGTTTTCTTTGTGCTACTTCCGTATTCTTTTTTGCTTCTTTTAATTAGTTTTTCTATATCACCCATTTTAAATTCTGGGGCTCTTTTGTTGCACATAAAATAATTTATCTAACGGTGTTATAATCTTTCTGCCTAGAAAATAACTCAGCAGGAGTTTTGCCCGTTGTATCATGTTTTGCGGTCCTAAGGGCGAAAGCAAATTCATTGACATAGTTATCCCAGCTTTTATGAAAATTTTTAACATAACTACGGATAATTTTCACTATATTTCTGTTGACCCGTTCCGCTATATTTGATTGCGGCCGATACGGGACCATTTTTAAATGACGTATGCCCAGTTTTTGGCACATGTCTTCAAATATATTACTTACAAATTGAGGACCATTATCCGATATAACTTTTAGGGGCGCCCCGTATTTTAAAATATATTTATTTAAAATAGAATCAGTAACTAATTTCGCGGAGGCTCGTTTTCAGGGAACAATTTCGGTCCATTTACTAAAATGATCAACCATAACAAGGAGATAGCGACTTTTATTTAACTGACTTTTTTTGGAAAGGGCCCAATAAATCGATGCCAATTATTTCATTTGGAAACTCGGATTTAATACTATTTAGAAACCCGGCCGGGCGGAAATTAATATAATTAACGGCTTGACATGTTGGGCAGGACTGGACATACGCCCTTGTTAACTTTTGCAGTTCAGGAAAGTAGACTGCCTCGCGTACGCGTTGGATAATTTTTCGAATACCAGCATGAGAAGCTAAAGGGCTGTCATGGAGCTCTGCAGGATATTTAATCTAAGACTAGCTGGGATAACAGGTCGAAATTCGTTGTTGGAATTCGTAGTTTTTGTATAAATAATAGACCATCTATTAGTTCGTAATGGGCCGCCCTATTTCTTATCGCCACAATATCTTGGTGGCTAAAATTTTCAGGATCCTTCAAATACTCATAAATACTTCCAAACTCAGGATCCTTACCCAGTTCGGTTATTACAGTTTCTCGGGAATTTATTGTACACGCTGTCAGCATTGCAACTTTTACGGTATTACCCTGTTCGTCTAATTTAATTCGTGATAGGGCATCTGCTACGATATTTTCCTTTCCGGGGGTATGCTTGATTACCAGATTATATTCTTGCAGCTTGAGTGCCCATCTTATTAACCTTGGGGATAATTTTTTCCCTGAGTACAATCTAGTTACCGCCGCATGATCAGAATATACTGTTATCGGCGCCTTTCCAAAATAGACTCGGAACTTTTGCACTGCTAACAGAACTGCAAGTGCCTCTCTCTCGGTCGCGGAATAGTTTCTTTGTGTTTGATTTAAAGTTCGGCTAAAAAATGCCACGGGCTGCTGATTTTGCGAAAGTACCGCTCCTACCGCATAATCCGAAGCATCCGCTGAAATTTCTAAATTTTCATCCTTTTCAGGAAATTTCAACACAGGGGCTTGCGTTAATGCTTGTTTTAATTTTTCGAAAGCACTATTGGCTTCGGCCGTCCACGAGAATCTTGCCTTTTTCCTTTTTAATTTTAACAATGGCTCAGCGATAGCCGCAAAATCTTTTATAAAGGACCTATAATATGAACAAAGTCCTAGAAAAGAAGAGAGCTTCTTTGCCGTGTTTGGAGTCGGATACTTTTGTACAGCGATTATTTTTGATTCATCTGTCTCGATCCCTTTTTGCGATATTTTGTAACCTAAATATTTTAATTCAGGGGCTGCAAATTTGCACTTTTCGACATTAACTTTTAGACCGGCCTCATTTAATAAAGAAAACACCTGTCTTAAATCCTGTACATGTTGGTCTAGATTATCACTAGTAATAATGATATCGTCTAAATAGATAAATGTGGACTTTCCAAGAACAGGTCTTAACACAATGTCCATGCATCGCTGAAATGTTGCTGGGGCCGCCTGAAAGGCCAAACGGCATATTCGCAAAAATGCATAAGTGCCAGACTTGGTTATAAAAGCAGTCTTAGGCACGTCCTCAGGCCTGATCCCCTATTTGAAAATAACCATTCGTTAAGTCTAAAGTTGTCATAAATTTGGTTGATTTTATGTTCCTTAAAATTTCTTCTATAATCGGTAACGGATATACCGGATATTTCGTTATGGAATTTAATTTACGGTAATCAATAGCGAATCTCCACCTTTTTGGATGCTCCAAAGGATAATCATTATTTTTCTTACATAAAACCACCGGACTAGCATAACTACTTGAGATAGGCGTTATGATCTTTTTACGTAGCATATCGGTAATATGCCATTCTATAATTTTTTACCTTATTCTTATCATACCGGTATGGTTTTTGACGAACCGGCAATGCATCTCCGGTGTCAATACTATGGTTAGTAACCTGGGTAAATCCTGGAATATCACTAAATAAGGAAGCAAATTCACTTACCACTTGTCGGATTCTATCTTGCTCGTCATTAGGCAGGTGGTCAAGATTTAACCTTGGCGGTTCAACCTTTTCTACACGCACTGGTTTCATCGTCAGCTTAAGGACGCTTCATTAAAATCCAGTGTAGCTTGTGCGTCTGAAAGAAAAGTCTATTCCTAGATTAAGTGTGCTTGCAATTCTTTACTATAAAAAACATCACCTTTACTTGTTCGTCCTTGATACGGATGTACAAAGGTACTTTACCTACGCACTTACATTGTTCTCCTTGCGCCGCTAATACTGTTGTATTATCCGCATTATATATGCGGTATTTGCGAAAATACTTTCTAAAAAAGACTTCTGCCACACAGGAACACTGCGCGCCGGTATCCAGGAGTGCGGTGGCCGGGATATTATTTACCAAGACTTCAATCTTCGGAAGAGTTAAATTTTTCACCATTACTGTATTTAACTTGTAGGAAGAGGGGTTTTCGTGGCCTTCGGATTTCCGCACCCTCTCGTCAGCAGAAATCCGTTTTAGTTTAAATTATTTTTTCTTTCGGTGCTTTCCTTCTTTCTCCACTGGCCTTGAGACTTTTTTCCTGGGTTGCTATTGAACTGTCGACGTTCGCCGGCTGTTTTTGAATGCTCGGGTTTCCTTGCCCACTGATTCGCTTTTTCTCCGTAGCCATGTGCTTGAGTTTGCTGTAGTCTTGGCGTACCAAATTGGTTTCGCTGTTGATATTGGCGTCTTCTTTCGACGTCCGCCGTTCTTCTACTTTCAAACTGGATTGCTAGCTCAAATAATTTTTCCAGTGTAGTCGGATTTCTCAATTCAATAAAGTCTTGCACTTGGGGTAGTAACCTCGGCAAAATCACTTGAATTATTTCAGGATCCGGACGGTTTCCATACAAGAGCTTGAAAACGTGAATTTTTCTTAAAATAAAGCTCGAGAGGTTTTCGATTCTTTGTTGATATATACTGAAAAGTTCCTGTTTCTAATTTCGCACGATCCCTTACAACAGGGAAGGCTTTTAGTAGGGCAGTCTTGAAATTTTCGTAGGTATAGGTGGGACTTCCTGCTTGACCCAAGAGACTTCTGCCGATACATTTGAACCAGTTAAGCGCTTGGCCCCTCAAAGCGCTGGTAGCTAAGGTAACTTTTTGAAACTCGTGCACGGGGTAGAGCATGAAGTGGTCATCCAATTTTTCCAAAAAACTGGTTACCTGTGAGTTTCCATTAAACGTTGCTTCTGGTTTCATCGAAGCGCGCATGGTCTGGACGATGTACCCAAATCCTTCCAGGGCGGCAGCTGGCATTTCTGGATTCTGAGCCGTTTCTGCAGGCAGCACAGGTTCTTCTTGAAACTCGGCCATGGTTATTCTTCTTCGTCGGGCGCCACTATCAGGTTCAATGTTTCTTCTAACCTTCTTCGGAAACATACAATGACCTGACTAGGAACAGAGAGCTTACTAAAGCTATGTTCACTAATTGTAGTAAGTAGACAGGATACAGACGAAGGGTATACAAAACCCTTTATTTTTTCTTTATATACAATGACTTCCGTACTTCGGAATACAATGACCCTCCACTCGGGGTCTAACTTAAAAGATATCAAAAATAAAACTAAACTCTAATTTAACTTTAGAATAAGATTGGCCTTATAATAACAGGAAGCGTATGTAGCACAGAGACTGTGAACACTACAATACGTTTAATTTATCAAGAGGATTAAAACCTCTGGCCTGGAAGGCAAAGTAGCAACTGCGTAACTTCTAAGGTAAGCGGCCTGCTTCGAACTCACGGCTTCCTCTCTTCTGCTTGGCAAAAAGGCCACAACTTAAATACTTGGCGTTCGCCAGACAAACTTTGCATAAACTCCTTCACGCTTATAATTCTGGCCGGAAGTAGAAAATAAGAAGTGATAGTAAAGATTTAAAATAAAATAAACGTTAGTAAAAACTTAAGATCTACTTGAAAATTAAGCTCTATATGGACTCCACATTTTTTGCTATTTTTGTCACATTAAATAACGATATTTCTCAATTTTTACTGCATTGCTGAAATGAAACTGTTCAAACGCTTTCAAGTAGATATTTCCTAAGGATGATGAAGGCTTATATTCGAGTCTCGTGTGAAAGCGAAGTATTTACAATTTTATTCTGAAGAATGGGCAAATAAATTTCTGGCTGCAATTATTAATATTTTCATAACAAATTCAAATTTAGTTTATTTTTATTTCCTTGAAGATATTCATTCAGTAAAATTATATTAACATTTATTTATTACCAACTATCATATTTTAAATATGGTATTTCAGAAAACGAAGAACAGAGGGAAGAGAAAACGCAGTGCTTAGAACATTTTCCTGTAAAGGTGAGTATTTCCAGACTTCTCTTGAAACCATATTCTGATTACTAGATTTCAGCACTTAAAAGTTCACTCATTAAATGTTTCTCTTATATAAATATCTTATAAATATTATAAATATTTTCAATTACATATAGTGGATGTCCAATAATAAGGAACTTATCTAATGCTTTACTAAAACATGCAAACTGAAAATAGTTTGATTGCACATATAGTTTTATGTTATATATATATATATAGTTTTTATATATATAAATAGTTTAATATGTACATTGACTTATGATTTATGCTTATACCTGTCGACTCAGTGCATTTCAGTAAAGAATTTATAGGCTTTATTTTCTTCTATATTACTCCAAGAGAAATATCTTCAATCGCAATTAGTAATATGTATTACGAGATTTATATGTATCACGATGTAAGCGGAATTCATCGAAATACATTCAGCAATGAGCTTTATCAAAAATGGGTAATAAAAAAATTTGATAAGGAATATTATTTAAATTTTTCCTGCGTAACCTCCTCTCCCCCCCGGTCGGTATCCTGGTTGTCGGCGCCGGATGCTGTATCCTTGAGTCCGAAACAGATATGGATATTTATAAAGATCCTTCCGTGCTAGAGGCGCGCTTCAGACACCGAGGAAGGAGAAAATTCTCTTTAACAGTCCTAGTTTAAGACATGTGTTCATTTTTCCACAAAAATGTGTAATGTCTTTGCGATAAAGAAGTACTTAAAGTGACGGAGACGAAAGTCCCCTCGAGAAATTATTAGTAGCATACTCTTTGATACGTCTTTTGGAGGGTTTTCTACCAAAACTGGATTGGAAAACCTCCTGTTGTCACCTATGAGGCCACGAAATAGCTTTCTACGTCTTGGTACTGATTAATTAGAGCTTCCCGAGTGGTCTAAAGGTTGAAGCCGCTGTGAATACTAGTAGTTCGACCCAGGCTCGAACCCAAACTAATGTGTTAGCTGTATTGCTAGTTTTCGTGTTTTTGCCAAGTGTGACTGTATATGAACCAATTTCGCTTAAAAAGTACTCTATAAAAGTATCCGTTAGGCAGAGAGCCTTTGTGTGTTTTGCCATATTCAAATGACCTAATCTTACAGGGTAAATCTAACGTGATAACGTTTGTGAATTTCGCCTATTAAATATCTCAGGATCAGGAGGATAAATGACAATAATAATAATTTTGTAAGTGGTTGTACATGCCTAAAATGGGATATGAGAAAATATAACTTTTACCCGCGCGTTTAAAAACCCTGTTTAAGTAATAATTCTGATCAGAAAACTGATTTAATGTTCTTATTAAAGACTGCAATAGAAACAGATAAATTGTAATTTTTTTTTTCATGTGCATGTCTTAAAAATATAATAGTTGAGCAGTTTTAGAAAGTTTATTCTTTTATATGCCAATCCAAGCAAACAGTTGATTGTTCTAAGCATATTTCTTTTACATTTTAAAACACTACATAATTAGTGTAGTTCCATGCTTGAAGTTTCGTATTTGAAGGTCCTTCCGAGCTAGAGAAGCGCTAAGGCACGCAGCGAGGACGGAGAAAATTCTTTTAGTGATCTCCTTTTCATGAATATAGTTGATAGTTTAAAACTGATGCTCATTTATATTCAAGAAAAAAGCGGTTTTTTTAAGAGGATGTCGTCATGAAGAATTTCACTATCAATATTATCCATTGGATGTCAATATTATTAAATGCAAATTGTACTTTTATATTTGTTCCCGACAAGCAGGTTTCTATTAATATTAAAGTAACAGATTTGAAATAAAATACTTGTCCTGAAAATGGCGAAAATCTCTGCATTTCGCTCACTTTATGTTTTGAAGAAGTATTTAGTTTTACATTCGTTAAGCACTTGTTTTTTCTAATATTGCATTTCACTGAATAGTTTGTAATCTGTTCATTTAATTATTGTGCCCATTTTCCGAGGTTGAGATATATTTTTAACAGAAACTCTGAAATTCTTTCAAAAACAGTTCCTTTTGGTGACATCAAGAATGACATAAAACATGATATAAAAGCACAATTGTTTGGCTGCGAATGTGTGGATGACTCCAAAACAATTGTAGCTATATAGTACCAAACATACAACAAAACGTACTACAAAAATGTAGCCATACGTACTAAAAACATATGGCTATACATGTAACACAGAATTATACCCAAAATTTAATTCATTTATTTAAAATACCTAGAAACGTTTTCAAAACCATGAACATTGTCCGGTACATATTTTGAAGCGGAAATAAGCAATAAAATCCGGATCTGTTCCGCACAATCCGGATCGCCTGATCACTTTACTCGTGGGTATAAGTAGCTTCGATTTTACAAGTTTCTAGTAAAAGAATCATTCTAAAATTCTTTTTCCATTATCATTTACACAAAAGATTAAAATTCCTAGTGCTCAATAGCTGTTTTCTTAGCATTTTGATACTGGCTTCTTGGTACACTAATACATTACTGGAATTATTTTTAATTAAAATTTATTCCATCTCTTTTATGAATTACTACCCGCTATTTACTTTATACCGTTATTTGACAACTTTATACCTCTATTTACTTTTTTATGAATACTACTTTTTTATGAATACCAGCTATTTCCGACAATTTGATGCGATTTTATCAAAAAACATAAAATAAAATAAATCTCATTCGAATTTTGAAAACATCGCTTCGAGGTGCATTGGCTATTGTCTAGATGCACCCTATGTATAAAATTTCGTAGCCCTGGGTCTATTAGCTTACGCGCAGCACGAATGAAAGACACACACACAGACAGACTCTTCCTTTTATTATATGTAGTTATTTAATTCTCATAAGAATTACGATTGTTAGATAACAATAAGTTTTGCATAATTCCAAAAATTGTAAATAACATAGTGATAAGCTTAAATGGTTTTTTGAACAAATTTATATTTTTTAAAAATTCCTAAGCTTAATAGCTTTGATTTTTATTTAATAAGTAATTGTAGCAAATTAATTAATTTTCTGAAAATCTAGGCCAAAAGTTTTATGTGTGTCCAAAATAGCCGTTTAAAATATTTTGTTTTCATTGTAATCTTGCTCATGGTGTCACTAATCACACAGATCTCTGTATGAAACACGAGAACGGATTCTGTATGAAACATGAAACAGAATTTGAAGAATAAAGTTTGTTTCTTTAGCTGCTAAGCTGCAGTATTCAATAATATGCAAACTATTTTTTAAAGGTAAGCGTTATGGCTATGACGAAAACTGCATGTGAAGATGTGGAATGTGTAATTAAAAAAATGTGTGTTGATAAAGACATTAGAAATGAAGTAAGTAAAATATTATTATTATCTTGATTTGTAAAAGCTTTCTTCCTTTTTCAGAAGTAAAGTTTATAAATATATGACATTTATACGTTTAAATATATTATTTCTGATCGGTCAAAAATACTTTTATTATAACTCAGTGATCTTTCAATATGCTGAGTGTTAACGTTTAAGATTTCTCGAAAAACGATATGTTAAACATTTACCAGCATTTCTACAGAATTCTCGAAAGACAAGATTTACGTAGCATTTTTCGAGGAATATTAAAGATAATGTAACAAGAAGGATCATCGTAAGTTGCGTAATTTACAGGATTAGTTCGAAAGAATACAAACTATTTCTTCAGTTGCAGTAGTGGAAATGACAAAGAGGAAGCATGCGTTCACTAAATGCCAGTAGAATGAAAAATTCGAGAAAGATCCAGCTAAAGAAATGAAGAAAGTCATCAGTGCTGTTTATTAAAAAAGGAAAACAACTATGAAATTATCTCTCGAAAGAAGAAGGCAGAGACGGTTTAGAATTTGGATTATTAACTAAAACTGAAATCTATTTAACTGGAAATGAATTTATAATAAAATTTGTAGTTCTCGAGAAATTCTTACAAAATATTTTCTGTATGTCTCGGTGATTGTAAAAAATTCCATTGACGCAAAAGGTTTATACACATAAATACATAATACACTGACGGAAAAAAGAATTTCACAACCAAGAAGGAATTGTGCTAGATAACCGAAATTTGGCAGGCGTTTTTATACATCTGAAAGATGACGATTATTCATATTTCGTGCTAGGCGCATAAGTGTGGAAATTATAGCATTAAATAATTTTCGTGAGCGTTTATTTATCGTTGAGATTTAGCTCACTGGAGGTCGGAGTAGAGATCTGTTGTGTTTTCTGATAAAAACCTGTTCCGCATTGGTGCCAGTGATGGCCGTGTAATGGTTAAAAAGAGGCCACGTGAACGCCTGGAAACAACCTGTCTGCGGCCTAGACACATTGGACATACACCTGAGTTATAGTCTGGGGAGCAATTTCGAATGACAGTAGGAGCACTCTCGTGGCTATCCCACGCACTCAGCAAATTTATACGCCAGTCTGGTGATTAAACCTGTTCTGCTGGCATTCATGAATAGCATTCAAAAGCCATGTTTTCGAGCAGGATAGCCGCTCGCCCTCTATCACTGTTGTAACCCAACTTGCTCTGCAGAGTGTCGACACGTTATCTTAACCCTATAGATCACCAGATCTTTCCCTAATCGAGCACGTACGGAACATCATTGGACGACAACTCCAGCATCATCTAAAATCAGCATTAACCGTTCCTGTATTGAGCGGAAAAGGCTAATAGGCATTGAACTCCATCACACAAACTGACATCCGGCACCTGTACGACACAATAAATGCACGTTTCGCATGCTTGTATTCAAAATTCTGGCAGTTACGCCGGTTATTATTAATGTACCAGTGTCTCACATTTGAAATGGCTCTTCTCACGCTTGCATTAACCTGGGATCTTGAAAATTTAACGAATTAGATACGTTATCTAGACACATGTATTGTTGAAATTTCATTATTCTAAATTAAATTTTCTTGCTTTTGAGATTTTATTTTCATATTAAAATACACAAAATTGTAGTGTCGTATTATTGTTTAATAGCCACCCATTTTGCAGCATTTACAAAGAGTACGAATACTGATACTAGACATTTAAATATTTCAGAGTCACTAAACATGCGTTAATCAGTTTTGTAAGCAAGTTAAATATTTCTTAGTGCTAATATGGGAAGGAAATACCATCTGCTGCAACACAAACGCGCTCAGACGTATCCAGAACTTTACTGAAATAGCTCTTGGAATCTCAGTCGATTAAATAACTAGACAGTTTCCTGCCACAGCTAAAGGCAGTAGTAACCAGAAGGCGCTCAAACTCAGAACGGCTGCTTTTGTTTGCTGGAAGAGTCCAAAATTTGTAGGTATGGTATTTGAAAGTAGGGATGAGGTAGGAGGAGAGGAAAGGGGACGCTACCATCATTTCCGGCTCGTGATTTGTGAGTTCAGCTAGCGTTTCCTTAGTATGAATTAATATTTATTATTCTTATTTCTATTGATCGTCTGCTCTTTTTTAATTTTGATTGCCAAATTTTAAAAAATCTGCTTTAAATTTAAATAACATGTGGAAAGAAATATTACTTGTTCTTTATACAAAATGGAATTAAAACTAAATTGATCTTTCACAAGTGAATACAATACTTTTTTCGTATAAAGACAGGCCTTTTGAAGCTCCATCAAAATATATCATACTGAAACACATCTATTTTGTGTACCAGATTTAAAAAAAGTTAAATAATTATGTTTCATTGCTATCATATTAGCGGTAAATATTATAAAATATAAAAAATTTACAGTTACAATTTTCTACAATACCTCAAGTAAATAAAAACTTTACAGTTCCGTATTGTTACTTCATGTAATACTCAGTTGCTTTATCGAAATAAGAATTCTAGTAAATATTAGATTTCGTTGGAATAAACAAGATTATGTGATTTCGCCAAAACTTTTTGCTTTAAGAAATTTTAAATAAGCATACAATGCGTGCAATTTTACATTTCAAGCAGGTATTTCTCTTCGAAATATTATTTTTGGTTCATGAATTGATAAAAATTAATCCGTCCTTGAATAAATTGTTCAATAAAACACAGAACATAAAAATACGCAGTGAAACTCCTTTCACGATTTACACTGGTGTGCAAAAATTAAGGACGAGACGGTTTTTTTCAATATAACATTGTGCAAATATAACATTTCCAAATCAACACAAATAATACCACAACACGTAAGAACATGGGTAATGTAAGCAAAACCGTCCCAAAAAGGAAATCAAAAGAATAATAAGGAACTTTATTGAAAAAGTTGCATGGAGCGCAATGTGACCGAAACATCCATGTGACAGGTGTCCAGTAAGAAACATCAAGCCTTTATTACGGAATATGATCTCTCCTGACTGCTGGGCAGGTTTAACATCGTTTGTGCATGCTGAGTATGAGGTTGTCAATGAGTTGTTGTGGCACTGTTGCCTATTCTACTCGTAGCGCCAATCGCAAATCCGGAATCGTTACTGGTGATAAGCTACGTTCGGCCACGTGTCTCCATAGAAAGCCCTATACATGCTGGATGGGCTTTAGGTCTGGAGACCTTGCTGACCAGTCCATGTGTTCAATAGCCTCACTCTCCAACAGCTCTTTGGCAGCAACTGTGCGATGAGGTGCAGCATTATTGTCCATGAAGAGGGACTAAGGACCCAAAGCACCTCTGAAAAGAGGCACGTAAGGAAGGAGAACCTCGTTACAACAACGGCCCCCGGTGATTGAACCTTGGAAGATGTGAAGGTTGGTACGGCTAGCAAGCATTATGCCTCCCCAAATGAGAAATCCGCGACCTCCGAACCAGTCCCATTTGATGATGTTAGAGGGATTATTGCGAGTTCCCTGCTCTCTCCAGATGTGTGTGCATCTAGAATCGCTACTCAGACTAAATCTGCTCACATCTGTAAAGAGTACTCGATCCCACTGATTATCTGTCCAATTATGATGTTACCTGCCCCACAAAAAAATTCCGATATAGGCGTTAATGGCATACGCCGTACGGTGTCCGCCGATAACATCGCGGCAAAATCATCGCGGGCGAAAACGTCGCGGAGAAACAACGCAAGGCGAAAACGTCGTGCTACAAAACATCGTGGGAGAAACATCGCAAAGAGAAAATATCGCAGTTCTAGAACATCGTGGTACAAAATATCGTCGTCGAAAATAAAGCGGTTCAAAAACTTCGCAGTTTAAAAACATCGTTGTTGAAAATATCGCGGTAAAAAATAAAATATCGACAAATCATCGCAGGACGATAACATCGCAGACCTGCTTTTTTCGGGCTTTGATACTTGGAAATGGATATTCCCATAATGATTTGTGAGCGCGAGAGGGAAAGAAAGATAATTTTTACTTTCATATTTTTTATTAACTAATAAATTTTTGCTGAAAAAGTAAGAAGGAGACTTAATACTTAAGAATAAACTGAAGCAGAACAAGAAATAATTTTCATTATAAGAGTATTAGATTGACAAAAGTGAAGAAAATAATCTCATAACTAGCAATTTTTTATAGCTAAGGTCATGCAGTTACGTAGCTTCCTTTATCTAAACATTTTTAGATTATACTTTTAATGAAAAATTACCAGTAAAATCTGTATAAAAAAGGATTTATTAATGATCTTTGTTAGTGAACTATGTCAGTTTAAAATTCTATTAAGTGCTATAAGTTGCCTTAATTTTTTATGCTTAAATTTCCTTCTTACTTTTTCAGCAAAAATTTATCTCTTGCGCTCATAAATCATTATGGAAATATCCATTTACAATTATTAAAGCCTGAAAAACGCATGTCTGCGATGTTATCGCCATGCGATGATTTGTAGATACTTTATTTTTTACCGCGATATTTTCGACGACGATGTTTTTAAACTGCGAAATTTTTGAACCGCTTTATTTTGGACGACGATGCTTTGTATCACGATGTTTTAGAACCGCGATGTATTCTCTTTGCGATGTTTTCTCCTACGATGTTTTGTATCACGACGTTTTCGCCTTGCGTTGTTTTCTCCGCGACGTTTTCGTCCGCGATGTTTTTGCCGAAACCCGATATCGGTTGTTCAATCGCCTATTCCATGTGTCTTGAAATTTCTCCCTCCGACTGACACCTGTTCCTCTTTGCCTGTAGGGGAATAAACTAGTCATGTGCTGCCGTGGTTGCTCGTGAGCAACCACTGCTGATCTGTCGGATAGCTGTTCCAGTAGTCTGAAATGCTCTCCAATGTCGTGAAAGATTGCTGTGTGCAATCCCGAACTTCGTAGCCACACTTGTTACCTTTCGACATGCATCAGTCTTTCCAATAATTCGACCTCCGGTAAAATCATCCAGATGTGATCTAACAGATTGATTGTTCAACATTTCACACTGAGGCATCAACTCGACGTCGTTTAAACTGATAAACGCCATGCAGTAGTTTCCCATAAATGCTGGGCTCTCACCTCCAGCAATCTTTATATTCTTCCGACACTCCCCCATTATGTCTAGCTGCAAAAATGCGCATGTGCTACCGTACCTGACCCTAGTTAATCTCCTGATTCATCTTTCAGTCTGATTTTCCTCTTAGTTTCGCTGATAAGCTAATTTTTAATTTCGTCCTTAATTTTGGTACACCGGTGTAGGAATAAGCCAGCAAGCATATCTCTAGTACCCAATTAAAAAGTCATTCCGCGATCTAAACTCTTTTCGTTGTAAGCCATTCCGGAATCTTTCCTTTCTGTTCCTCTTACCTGCGTAAATTGAACTCGCCCAGCTAACAAAAGTAGTCGTTCCGGGATTGACGGTCTAGTGTAGTAACCCTACTTTGTTTTAACATATCGTATTCAGCATCTATGTTTAATAAGTAATGCATAAGAACCATGTATATATATCCAGTTCTCATGTAGCCTCATCCGCGACCATGAGCGCAAACACGCATGCGCCATTCGGACCGAATTATTCTCAAAATAGGGTGGAAGGCTGGGGACTTTCTTTCCCTCCAGCATAGCTCTTTCCGGAGAAGAGAAGACTTTCACACTTGCTACACTGGTGTGCAAAAATTAAGGACGAAGTCGAAAAATTAGCATATCAGCTGAACGAAGAGGCAGAGCGGACAGAAAGACCAATCAGGAGATTAAGTAAGGTGATGTACGGTAGCACATGCGCAGATATGCAGGTAGACGTAATGGGGAAGTGTCTGAGTAGTATAAAGCATGTTGTCGGTGTAAGATCAGTATTTCTGGCAAAGAGATTGCACGCCGTATAGCAGTTAAAACCACACCGAGTTGCTGCCTCAGCGAGAAATGGCGAATAATCAATCTGTTAGACGACATCTGGATGCTTTACCCGAGGTCAAATCATTGGGAAGTTGGAGGAAGGCCGCAGTGTGACAAGTGTGGCTGCAGAGTTCGGAATTGCTCACAGCATCGTTTTTCGAATTTGGAGACAATTTCAAACTACAGGAACAGCTATCCGGGGGTTTAGTAGTGGTCGTCCACGAGGAACCACACCCGCAGATGACCGGTATATTGCCTTACATGCCAGAAGAAACAGGCTGCAGACAGCGGGAGAAATCGCTAGACACACGACACAGGCGACTGGACGACCGATATCGCGTTTTACCGTGGCCAGAAGACTGCACGGTGGTGATCTGTTTGCACGACGCCCTGTACGGTGTGTACCTCTAACGCCTGCCCATCGGAGAAGACGTTCTCTGTGGTGCCGGGAACACCGGAATTGGAGAGACAATGAATGGGGACGAAGATGAGAGCAGATTCAGTCTGAGTAGCGATTCTCATCGCATACTCATCTGGAGAGAGCGGGGAAGCCGCAATCATCCCTCGAACATCATTGAAAGGGACAGGTATAGAGGTGGCGGTGTTCTCGTTTGGGGTGGCATCATGCTTGGTAGTCGTACAAACCTTCACATCTTCGACGCAGGTTCAGTCAACGGGACCCGTTATTGTAACGAGATTCTTCTTCCATATGTGCGTCTTTTTAGAGGCGCTATGGGTCCGCAGTTTCTTTTCATGGACGACAATGCACCATATCATCGCACAGTAGCTGCCGAACAGCTCTTAGAGAGTGAGGATATTGAACGTATGGATTGGCCGGCACGATCTCCGGATCTCAATCCCATCGAGAATGTATGGGATTTTCTAGGCAGACGATTGACAGCTCGTACCTTACCACCAGTAACGATTCCGGAGCTTCGATTGGCGCTGCAAGACGAATGGACAGCAATGCCTCAACAACTCATTGGCACCCTCATTCTCAGCATGGGCAGACGCTGTGAAACCTGCCTAGCAGTCAGGGGAGATCATATCCCCTATTAAAGACCGGATGTTTCTTGCTGGACCCCCATCACAGGAATGTTTCGGCCTTCAGTCGCATTGCGCTCCATGCTACTTTTTCAATAAAGCTTCTTTTTATCCCTCTGATTTCTCTTTTAGTAAGTGTTGCTTACATTACTCATGTCCTTACGTATTGGGGATCTTACGGTATTAAATGTGTTGATTTGGAAAGCTTTTGTACAAAGTTATATTGAAAAAACCGTCTTGTCCTTAATTTTTGCACACCAGTGTATTTTTCTCCTTGCTTCGACTTAAAATCACCAAATATCATCATCCATATTCCCTTGTATGCTGTACCATACCTGCAAGACCTTGGCTCAGGAGCTGCTCACTGCAAAAGTGGACAATTTAGCCACATGGAGCAATAACGTAGTAAACTTTGACAGTCCCTAAGAACATGTTCTTGAGAAGGAAAATAATTTAGAATCATCAAGGTGGCATAACTAGCTGATAAGAGCTTTTTTTTTTCAAGTCGAAGAGCAACCACATTGGCGGAAGAAAGAAAAGAAAGGGAGGAAAAGTACTAATATGGGCGGTAAAAGTCAAGATATGAAGCAGAATGAAAAAGGAATCACATCAATGAAATAGGAACATCATCATGTAGCAAAGTAACAGCAATATAGTCTTTTAAATGGCAGAAACTATCTTGCGTTACAAGGAATGATATGTCCAACACAATTTAAATCTGTAATCATAGTTTGTTGAATCAATGTAGAAGTTACGTTTCGGGCTTCTAGCTGAGGCAGCAGTACTGAGCTTTTCATTTATCCTGTTACGACAGGTCTAGCAGTTTTTGAAAATGGCGTTTTAATTCTATATGCTGAACTTAAGAAACGTAAGTATACACTTCTGAAAATTCATTCTTTATTATTTATAATTTGTTATTTAAGATTTCCTTCCTTTAAAGCACGTACGTAAAGTTAAGAACATATTTAATATAATGTCGGTGCAATAAGAACTAAAGCAATATCAAGAGTTTAACGTAATTTTCTAGCCTAAAAATTTGATTTATTCATGTACTTTTTTATGTAATAGTTGTCTGCAGTTGTCCACAAGTACTGTATACAGAACGTAGTACATAAAAAAAAAATGTTTCTAATACGTTGCTTCAAATAATATTTAAATATTCTTAGAAATCAATGCAAATGAGTGTCAATAATTTCTTTGAAGGAATGCATTTAAGTATACCTCATGTAAGTGTAAATTTGAGAATATTATCATATTCCAATATTATTGCAACAGCAGATTAGAAAAGACAGTTAAGTAGCTGATACTGCAGATACAGCTACAGGTACAAATTCGAAATGTTGTTTTTGTGCAGACTGTTGTAAAAATAAACTGATTTACTCGTCACCCTTAAACACTGAAATGTACTCCTCAATTAGTTAACTACTGTTTTTTAAGGAATACCGTGGACTATCTTAAAACATTTCATTCCTTTTATTTTCAGATTGTTAGAGAGTTACAAGCCAATCCAGCCGAATTGGATGTAAGTAAAATATTCGACAAACGTAAACTGAAAGTTTTTCCTAATTAATTTGATGATATATTGTGGCATAAGAATAGTATGAGATATAAACATTTAATTACAGATAAACTGCAAAAAAATTCACTTTTCAGCAACAATTTTTGCAAAATATTTTTGTTTCCAAAATGAAAATTTATCACTACTCTAATAGCAAAATCTATGAATTAAAGTATGGAATATTTTAATGATTGGCTTAAGTAACTTGGTGCATAGAATTAAAACGTTTTGCTATTTTACTTCTGTATCATTTTTAGTAAGCATATTCACGTATAGATGGCGCTACCACATAAAATTGAATGAAAAACTAGGTAAGAATTGCTGTCCCAAGCAACAAAAAGAAAAACATTTTTACAGCTTCTTATATTTTCGGATTAATATTAGTAAAATATTTCTTTTCTTCAAAAATATTTAATTTTCTTGTTTGTAACTTTTCGGTTGACGGAGCTAGTGGTTGAAATTCTGGGTTCCAGTGTTTTATACGAGCTCCAAAACTTAATTTCAAAAGTTAAATTCTGTTCTCGTTACTATAAGCCTTTTCGGTTTAAAAAAAAAAAAAATCTTTGGATCATTTCCTTTATACAATTTTCTCTAGACAGATTCATATGCCAACTTGATTCCCCCTGAGAGAAAATGTAATTTCGTCAACAGCTCATTTAGACTGTGGTAAAACAATTTACCAAACATAAAAAATATACCTCTTGGGTTTTTTACTTCAGTAAACAAAGAATGAAACAAAATCATATACTTTAAGAACATTTATTGACAAGGTTGGAAGACGTGGCGAAGAAAACCAGAATTTCGCAAATATTCTTGCAGGTAAATAGTTCTACAGCAATTACTGTACAGTAATTTTGATGCAGACAGACAGATGTCAGAGTCCTTTCACACTTCTTCCTCCTGCCATCAAATTATTCGAAAGGACTTCCAGCTTAGGATTTTAAATGCCTCCATAGCCGCACAGGCTGTTCTAGTAAATAATATCACAATGCAATAATAGTATTGTTGTAACAAAAATCTAAATATTATTTAAATAAGAGCGCTTAAGATACTTATTATACGGAAATTGCATCTATATGCTACATCAAAGCTCCAAGAAGCAAAAATAAAGAGGAGTAAACAAAATAAATCTTTGCCAAATAGTAATACCTAAACTAAGAATCAAGACTTTAAATTTTCTTTACAAGTATAATATTTACAAAATCCAAACTTTCTCCGGAATTCTCGGGTCCAGCCGATATGGCAACCAGTATCGTTAACCACTATACCGATCATAGCGGCAATATCACAGCGGTTGTTGTAAAGGACGGAAACCTACCAAGATAGACCTTGGACTTCAAATAACCGCACAGATAAATAGGGGAACAAGGCGGCCATGCAAGTAAAAAAAAGTATCTTAATGATCCTTTCTTCTGCAAAATGCTAACGCAACAGCCACGGAACCGATAGACCAATCTGCGCTGGCGCTTCATCCTGTATAAACGTTTCTGGAACTGTCTCTGCTGAAAATGCGAAATGACAAACAAAACTAGTCAGCATATCACGATACCTTTGCGTGGTAACGGTGTAAGGATCCTGCTAAAGTAACGTTCTCAAAAAAGAATGGTCCAGTGACGAAATCTGCTGTGAAGCCTCACTTAATAGAAACATTCGGTAAATGCAATGGGATTTCTTGAACTTCATGGGGTTATCTGAATGTTCAAATTCGAGAATTGCGACTGTTAACAGTCCCATTTAAGACCTCATCTCCCCGCGGAATTCTCCACAGCCAAGTAACATTAACTTCCATCCCGGCAAGAAATATGGGAGCAAATGGCCACCCGCTTATCATAATCGTTTTGTCTAATTCCTGCACACGGCTTATCTGTTAGGGATACGAGCAGAGAACGTTCTGCAAGATTTTACTTATCGTCCAAACATTTAAATCCATTTGTTGCGGTCCTACAAGCAATTATCCCACGTGTACCGTTAACGACTATAGTCGCGGCATCAGAATGTTCTGACGCCGATTTTCGCTCTCTACCAGACCAAAATACTAGGTATTCTATTTTCCAATCTTCTGAACAATTCCGTTTAATGCATCAGTAGATACGTAGATTGTTATGACTTCTAAACTCACAAAGGGTGGCGGCTGAGTTCGTTTGGTAATGGTAAAACGCATGTAACGCGCAATGAGGTAAAATGAGACATACATTGAGTTCTAATAAATAGGTTCTCATAAGTAAAGAAATTAAAATTTTGAAGACTCGAAAATTTGCAAACCTTTCCAACTGAAGAAAACGAACTATTGTTAAAATACTCATGCATTCGGCCCACCAGCGGCCGAGCGGTAAAGTCACTGAACACTGGTAGTTCGGTCCGAGGTTCGAATCCCGCGATGGATGCATGGGTGTTTTAATGGTTTTTCTCAATGTGTAACGCGTATGTGAGCCAGTTTCCCTTAGAAAGTCCTCCCACGAAGGCATCCCTTTCCTTAGGCAGATAGCCCTCGAAGCTTTGCCGTAATTAAATAACCTAACCTAACCCATGCATTCAAGCAGCTTCAGTGCTAGTGTAACTCGACGAAATTGGCTTAGTTCAGTGAAGGTTTTTATAGCCTGATCATTTAAGGATAGATCAATACATGCATTAATATAAAAATCATAAATGTATTAGTAAAATATATTAGCAAAAATAAATTTTAAGCGCTTTCTTTTTCATGTTTTTATACTTTATTCCGTCATGAAAATAGAACACACGTGTTGGCGATCGAATGGAGAACTATAGTTTTACAATTAACTTGAATAAAATTGTATATCTTAAATTTATAATTATCTTGAAAAGTTCTGTAATTCGATTTTAATTTGATTTTTGGTTGTTTTCAGTTTACTGATGAAATGAGAGCAAATGTACTGGTAAGCTATATTTTGTTCATATTTAATACGTTTAATATTTTGCTCTTTACGACTTTTTAAGTCAAAATATGCATTTAAAAGTGCATGCAGGGTTATTTATTTTGATAAAAATTATTATCTTTCTTGAAATTCATGTCGTCAGCATATATTCCGTAATCTTCGTACACAGAATGAAACAAAACATAAATTTTACCATAATATGTATTTTATGAATATTTTTAAAGCTTTTAGTTAAAATATTTCTTTTTTCTTCTAAATGCTAATGTGTAATTTCTTGTATTATCAATAATATATCATACTATAAATCTTCGGTACTTTTCTGTTTCGCCGGCGCAAATCTCGCCAAGCAGAATTTATTGGCAACAACACACAGTATACACATAAAATATGTTAAAAAATGTTAGTTCTAAGAAATTTTTATTTTGAAGGCATAAATATTTTAATATCGTTTAAAATTGTGTAAAAAGCCAATAAATAAAGACAATAAATTTGTAAAAAGACATTCATTTAAGAATTTACTATGCTTTCATGGTTCAACATCCTGAGTCGCCGGTTCGTATTATGTGACCCCAAGTGATCTCTTCCCATATAAACTATGTTACAAAAATCTAATTCTCTCAGTAATTATTTACATTAATTTCAAGTTAAATCTTTGTTTGGAATACAAGTTTAAATGCAAGAATTATTTCAATTCGTAGGAATAGCTTACTCAGAAATTATGTAAAACAGCAGTGCTTTACTTCTTTAGTGCATTCTCATTAGAACTGATGGATTTAAACCTCGACTTTACATTTTCTATATTTTCGCCTTCGGATGAGCAATGTGATTGCATCCTAATTGACTAATTACCGCGAATGGCCTTAGGGCATAAAATTGAACTATCTGGGTAAACTTCTGTGTAATTGTATGCTAGTATTGAAAGAAACAATCAATCTGATAAGAAATGGCTGCTATTTGTTTTGAAAATGAGGCGTAAAAGGTTACCAGCGAGGATATTCCGTTTGGCTTCGGTTGTGCCATTTTTGGTGACTTTATAGCTTACGCCGGCAAAATGGAAAAGTACAAAATCTTTTTCCCATTCACGTTCTTGCTCATTGAGTTCTTTGTTCAGAATGAACGTAAATTAAAATTTTTAGAGATATTATCTACCGTTATAAAACAATGTTTATAAGGTCGAAACTGCTCACTAAATTAAAAAAGTGGCATGAGCAAATATTATGTTTTATGGTGCTTTCTGATCATCCGCACCATCGGCGAAAATTCCCAAATTCATTGGCGACATTGGAAACCATTCGAGAACTCCTTTGCAGCTTTGTCCATTTCAACGAGGCAGCCAGTGCTGCCTATTTTCTTGCATTCTTTTTTTTTTTTCCATACAAGATATACATATTTTTCGATTTTTTGCTGTGTTGTTCTCCCCGTGTACACACCAATCTGGTTTAAATTAAAAAAGTAAAAAAATTAAAATAAAAAAGTAAATCACAGTATTTTAAAAAACTCGGCTTATTGCACAACCTGAGTATCAGGATTCTAAAATGAAAAGGAAAAAGAGGTGTATGATTTTTTTAAGTGAACCACATTATTGCACTTTAAGCGTGCAGAAAGCGATATCTCGCTGAAAACTGAAAAATGTGCAGTCCATCGCCTTGCTAAAACCCTGAAATTCGGTTAAGAGGGATCATAATCTGCAGTCATACTGACGAAAATATTTGGAGAAGTAGAAAGCTGTTTGTGGAATGCTACGCTCGTTTCTGGGTTGCCACATAAATACTTTATAGCGATATGGTATACTACTTCATAATAAATACTTTACAGCGATATGGTGTATTACTTCATTTCTACTTTCTCATAATCAGAAAGCTCCAAAAACATTATATAAGTAAATACTGCATTTTATTAGTAAAAGAAAATGCATTTTGCACAGCTGTGTCTTTTTATTGACATAAATCTGGTTTAGAAAAAATCTGTGACATGTTTCTAGGAATTTACGCATGTGATGAACCAAGAAATTAATTACTCATATAAAAATAATTCTCATTTTTAGAAGCATATAACGATTTTAATTGCTTAAAACATACGCTAAAGATACTTCTGTTTATTTAGCAATTAACTGAAGTTTATGGTTATGTACCCTCCGAAAATCAAGGCACTGCACTCTCAAGACTGCTTGAATGTTTTTCCATCTCTATGAGTAATAAATTACCTAAGAAATATATGCAACACCTATTGCTACGCTGTATACATGGAACGCAGTTTTAATTGTAGCATTTACTTTTACCCCTCTATGTGTCTTACACCTAAATAAAATAACATATAAAAACCTTAACTGCATGTACAATGAATTAAAATAAACATAAAATAACAATATATAAAATTTCTGTGCAATAGCACATAGGAAATATTTATTTATATCCATGTAGAAAACTCAGGTTAATGTAAAGAAGGAGGCAAAATTTTGCTAATCTATAAAGTGTTGCAAAATGACGTAATGCTACTGAGAAAACGAAAGCTTCAAGAGAAATTTAAGTAAAATTACTTTAAGAGAAACTACTTAAAATTGAAAGAAGAGAAACTACATAAGAGGAGTTTTAATTATTATATCATATTATTTGATCATTTGTTTATTAATTTATTTATTTACTCTTTCAGAGCTGCATAAAGAACTTCGTGTAATGGAATAAGGAAATTGCTGCCACTTCGTATTTTGAAGCGAATCTGCATTTTTACTCAGCTTTATGATTTATGTTCATTTTATTGTTAAAACTCTTTTTTTAAATTTCATATCAAAATAAACAGTTCAGCATGACTTCTTTCTGGAACTGTGTTTTAATATGTATTGTTCTTGTTCATTTAAAAATACTATATTTTTATAATAAAGGCATGCATGGTTTTCGACAAACAAAGCACTATCATAATTTTACTCCCACATTTCTTCACTTTCTTTTTTCGATAAGTTTTGCTTCTGCTTCCTTTGAACAAGAAACGAAAATTTTAAAAATATCTTTTACCCATCAACTACAGGTATTTACGAAAATTTTTATACAGCCTGATAGAGCTCTACAGAATTTCCTATAGGACTATATACGTAATCCTCTGCACAAATGCTTCTCTATAAAATTCTGTAGGAATTTAATAAAGCTTTGACCAAACATAATTTTACAGAAATAATGTTTCGACAAATTTATGCAGAAATTTCACAAAGCCTTTCTAGGATAGTGCTTTATAAAAATAAGCAAAGTTTTTAAATTGTAATCAATCAATGCAATCAATGCTTGGTTTCTGATGTACAATTCGCAATACAAAAAAGCAAAATTAAATCCTTTTTACAAGTTTTGAATGGTCATTATTTAATTTTTCCTCTCTAGCTTAAAGTTTTAAAGCTTCCAAATTTATGTAACATTTCACATAATTTTTTGAACAATATTGACTACATAATACAAAAATCTTGTAAAAGCGCAAAACCAGTTTATATCAAAAATTAGTTAAACGATTATATTTATGCTCTTAATTTTAAAATTTTCATTCCTGAAATTAATGCTTGTAATTACTGTATATATACCCTTTGTAAAGTCTATGTCTCTTTGGAATCATACAATATAGATTTTAAAATGTAATATTAAGAATTATCTTCTAGCCTTGTGAAACAAAACAGAAATCAGAAGAAGGATGTTTAAGACCCTTTTATTCAAACATATAATTAACAAATGACCCAACTTGGATTGTAAAAGGCCAAACACTTCTGCTTTAACAGAATAACTTAACAAATAGTAAATTTCAAGGTGTAGTAGATTAGCCTAGCGGATCTCAAGATACTTTAACGAGCAGGAAGAGCTCTGGTCTACAGTAAACCGGCTAGAACACGCAACGCCGCTAACACAAGTCGCTAATAATCACAACACAACGTTGCCTGAAATAGGTGGACATGCTCTAAAGCTAACTTCTGAAACTCTTGCTTAAATAGCATTTTTCTACTTTTATCTGAGTAAACTCTCGTTATCTCATTTGCATTCTGGCATGAAAAGCGTGGGTGAAAAGAGAGTATAAGAAAGTGCTAGTTTAAAAATGAACTATTAGTTGAAAATAAATAAACCTCACACCTTGATAAGAAAAATGGTTTCTTTACTTTTATTAAAATTTAACTATTTTTAAATCAAGATAATATTGAAATTTTTATTAAAAATTAACATCTGTTCCAAAAGATTTTATTCTTCTTCCCATCTCATTGATCAGTTCAAAATTTATATTAAAAATTCTACACAAAAATGAAAATTTATTTCATTCATTTTAATGCAAAAAGTTAAGTTTGTTGAGTTTATATTTCTTTTAAATACTCAACCTTCTTATAGGAACTTTTGTATAGCATTAAAGTAATTTGTGTGGAATTCGTAAATTATACAATAATTTCCTCGATACTGTATATAATATTTTCAGTAAAATTCTATTAGTTGATTCTATACACACTGTATAAGATTTCATACCTTTAGAATCTCTAGCAGCTGTATCTAAAATGTTAAAGAACTGTAGAGAAGTTCTTTGACGAAGTTTACTGAAAACTGGGCCATAATTCTAAAGTATTCTGAAGAAGTTGAACATTAAATTTTTTATAGAATTCTATAATACATTTTCGCAAGAGGTTTGAAGCTTATAGCTATTTTAGCAAGAGATTGTTAACGTAGTTGTACGACTGAAATGTTTGCCTCTATTTATAATTACTTTCTTACGCTTTACAAAAGCTCTGGATTAGTTTTCTTACCGTTTTCTCAACTTAGCTGTTCTGCTTATCTGTCATGTACTCAATTACATTCACCAAATAAATATTTTTATTGAATTAACGTACATTTTAAACATAAGAGATAGCGCTGACACAATAACATTGGAGGTACAACATTTTATATCCATGTAGAAAACTTGGTAAATCTCCTCCGGATTTCGGACGGCAAAAAAGCATATTCATGAAAAATATAAGCTCCTGAAGAGAGCTAGGTGCGAGCTGCAGTGATGCAAGTCGGGTCCTGTTGCGTCCCACACGTATTCAATCTTATTTAAATCCTGAGAATATGTGGGTTACTCCATCGCCTGGAGTACTTCACCCTCAAGATAATCAGTCACTCGTGCTGCGCAATTGGGGGCCTTTTGTATTCATGGGGAGGAAGTTATTACAACCGCACAACAATATGGTTCAAGTAAACGAGAAATAAAAGGAAAAAAAAATTAAATCGTTACTTTCTGCAAGAAATATTTTTGTGATCAAGAAGAACAGAAGAATGATTTCATAAAACACAATATTTCATATTATTTGTCAATCATTCAAAGTAATATTCTATAGTTGCTCTACTATCATGCCAATGGTTACGCAGTTCTTTTGGTCCCACTCAGCAAAAAGACACTGAAGATGCAATTCACTATTCTGCTCAAATGTAAACAAATGTGGCTGCTATGCCAAGAAAAATTAGGCCTAACCGCACTTAGCAACTTTTAAATTCTACATCTATTGCACGCAGATTTTTTTTTTTTTTTTTTTTTTTTGATAATTCTGCAATTATTGTAGGCAGATTAACTAAAGGCATAACAACCTTAAACAGAAGATAACAACAACCTAATTCAATCATTTATAAAGCAAAAAATGCGCAATTTACAACATATAAGAATAAAAAAACTGAGCTCACGGTGCCGAGTAACACAGTGGTTATATATATATATATATATTTACATAGTTTTGGTGTGTCCGATTGCAACCAAAAAGGGAGGTGCACAACTACGTGTTATAGCAGCTCTATATACAAAATTTCAATTTCTGAGGCTACTTGTTTTTGAGCTATGCGAGATACATACATACATACGTACGTACAGGCGCCACGAAAAAAATCCCTTATGTATCCATTTTAAACCATTTTTATAATTCGTTTGGGAAAACATAGTCCTCTAGTCCGTCCTTACGTACAGCTATCACTCAAAAGCATTGTTAAATCGCATTTAATATCCGTCAAAATGAATATTTTCGTTGAACTATGATACCCGAAATTTTTGTGATTACAATACTCCCTTTACTTCGTACAAGGAAGTAAAAGACCTGATGTGTACACTACATGACTTCCTTGTACGGAATATTAAACTATAAGCATTTTTTCCTGCATTTTATTTAAACGTATTGAATTCAATTAAATCTACTTCGTCGATAGCGCATAAACCTCAATAGAATAAATGCACTCTTTAAAACTCACTATATTTGTTTACCATCGCGAAACTCTGGCCCTAGATTCACTTAACAGCGTTACATCTCATTCATTTTATAACTCAGAATGCTCAAATATTTTATCATATGAAGAATTATCTAATCGTTGCCACATATTCTATTCAAATACTATAATAAATCTAAAACAATGTATAAAAGAAATTAAGCAAATAAAAAAGAAACAGTTTTTCACAGATGATTCAGCGCAGCTTACCTAATGTGCATACGCTACTCCTAAGCATGGTCCTCTGTCCGAGACAGACTGACGACATTATTTGCAGCTAATACGAAATACTTATTTTCTCGAGAATTTCATTAGAGACATATTTCTCATTCAATTAATTCTGTCCTCAGTTCGCGACAAGGCAAAAATACTTAAAGGCTCAAAATACGTTAATTTAAAATTAAAAAATATAAAACACCTACAGTGAAAACAACAAAAATAATTTTTACAATTAAATTTAGAGTTTCTACGCAAAAGCAAACAATTCGGCTAGCAGGCAACAAGGCAGATTTTTCGGTGCACAAAAATGAAAGTTTACTTTTGGTCCCACTTTGCATAAAGACATTGAAGAAGCAGAAACTGAATTCCCTATTCTGCTAAGATTCAAATGTAAACAAATATGGCTATGGTAATCAAAAATTAGGCTTAGCCGCATTTAAACAACTTTTAAATTGTTGATAATTCTACGACTATCGCATGCAGGTTAACTAAAGGCATAAAAAACCTTAACCGGAAGATAAGTACAACATAATTACATAATTCAATCATTTTCAAAGCAAAAAATGCGCAATTTACCAACATATAAAAATAAAAGAAAACTGAGCTCACGGGGCCGAGTAACGTAGTGGGTATATAGTATGTAGATTGGTGCGGCCGATTGCAACCAAAAAGGGAGTTGCGCAACTGCATGTTATAGCACTCCTATATACAAGATTTCAACGTTCTGAGGCTACCCATTTTTGAGTTATGCGACATACATACATACAAACGCCAAGACAAAATCTCTTCTGAATCCATTTTAAATCAGTGTTATATTTCGTTTGAGGAAAAAGAGGCCTTTATTCTGTCCTTACTTGCAGATGACACGTAAAAACATCGTTAGAGGTTAAAATGGATATTTTCGTTAAAATATGATAATCGGAATTTCTCCTGATAACAATTCTTCCTTTACTTCCTACAAGGAAATAAAAATAGCGCTCGTTATTTACTCGGTTGCATTCACCATTTTACGAAATCGTCAAGGTAAATTTTTATTATTCATTAAAGATGATTTCTTTTTCTTGTTGCAAAGGATACAGGTAAAAGAAACATGAATTATCAGCAAATGTCGATAAGAACAGTAATAATTCTGAATGGTCAGCAGGGCCGTCGACCTATTGTAATAGTAACTTATTAGCTATTAAAGCCTTGTTGGCGGATTAATCTGTTTCAAAACGGCTTAAAAAGACAAGGCCATTAAAAGTGCATTAAATAAGCGACAATGTGAATTATTCACAGCAAGCATATGAAAGAGACCATGTAAATGCACGTACACTCAGAACGCGCGTAAAAATACGATATTAGTGATTTGACAA